ACACACACACACACACACACACACACACACACACACACACACACACACACACACACACACACAATCAAGCTGAGCAGTGTGATGTCTGCAGTTCAGTGCGGTGAGGAATGTTCAGACCTTTATGGTTGAGAAACTAAACAGTCTCTCCACAGATGCACGACTCAACGCAGGAGAGCAGCTCTTCAGAAGAAGACACAGCTGTGCACCTCCACCTCAGATAAAGCACACTCCTTTAAAACCAAAACGACACATGATTTTTAGAGAGGGGTAGAAAAGCTATTTTCATCAAATGAGGAGAAAAAAAGCAACTTTTAAAAGAAGAGGAAGTCTCAGGTTTCAACTTTTTAAACTCTCCTGCCTGCAGTTTCTCCTCTAAAGGCAGAGACATTCAATTCAAATTCAAAAATACTTTATTGATCCCAGAGAGAAATTTGGTTTTCAATTTCAAGCATTTTTATAAAGCCCTGCTGAAAAAAAAAACGGAGGTTGGACACATTTTTCCACCTTAATAACTGACCTTTTATTTAATTTTATTACAGTTAACAAACTAAGGAACTATTGATCTTACTGYTATTATTATTATAATTAGAAGCTATCACGAGTTTCACTCCTGCTATAACAGAGGAGTATGTATACAAACAGAGGAGCAGATTATTTCCTTTAAGTGAACTAAACGCTGAGGAAACTCGAGCTTGAATGCCCCCTGTTGGTGTTTCTGGAAACTGCAGCTTTTTTAAATTCTCTTTTCTCCCTTCCAGAGTCGCACCAAGCAGTTGCTGGAGTTAATAAATCAATCAACATGTGCAGCTTTGGTGGTCAAACAAGTCGGGCTGAATCTGTAGTTACAGGAAGAGTATTTATGGACAGATTTAAGGACATGTTTTTGGATGTAGACAATGTAGTTGTCAGATCAAAAGAGAAAAAAAAGTCAGTTTTTTTTTCCATTGAAGCGATGTTTGCGCTGAGATATTAGGGGAAATTGCTCCTGAGAGTTTATAAATTTCAGTGGAAAACCGTTWTTCTTGCTGTTACGCACAGCTCTGCGCCATCAGTTTGTTGTGCCACGGGAGCGCGCGCTCGTCTCCCGTCTTCACTGGAACTGACAGCCTGACGCACAGGTGGGAGCTCAGCTCTCCGCCGGGTCCCGAGCCATGACGCGCACAGAGGTGGGAGGGACTGGAGCGCTTAAATACCCAGCTCCGTAGCTGGAGGACTCTCAGAAACCGCAGAGAGCCGGACTTTTACGCACGGAGGCGCGGGCTTGTTTTTACTTTCTTTTCCACGCACTCGAGGATAACAACAACAACAAAAACATGATCAAGAAAATGTCTCCATCCGAGAGCGACTTTGACATCCCTACCAAGAACTGCTACAGGATGGTGATTCTGGGCTCCACCAAAGTGGGGAAAACCGCCATCGTGTCCCGGTTCCTGAACGGCAGGTTCGAGGAGCAGTACACCCCCACCATCGAGGACTTTCACAGGAAACTCTACAGCATCAAGGGGGACGTTTACCAGCTGGACATACTGGACACTTCAGGGAACCATCCTTTCCCCGCCATGAGGAGACTCTCCATCCTGACAGGTACGCTCCGSTTCTGGGACTTTAAAAGCACTTTGAAAATGTAGTTCTTACGCACGTGTCCAAAAGGTTAACCACCCGTCTGCTCTCTCTTTCTCCCCCCACAGGAGACGTCTTCATCCTGGTCTTCAGTCTGGACAACCGGGAGTCCTTCCAGGAGGTGCAGCGGCTCAAGCGGCAGATCTACGAGACCAAGTCCTGCCTGAAGAACAAGATGAAGGAAAACATCGACGTYCCTCTGGTGATCTGCGGCAACAAGGGCGACCGGGACTTCCACCGGGAGGTGCAGCAGGACGAGATCGAGCAGCTCGTGGCGGGCGACGACAAGTGCGCCTACTTCGAGATCTCGGCGAAGCGCAACGAGAACGTGGACAAGATGTTTCAGACGCTGTTCGCGCTGGCCAAGCTGCCGCACGAGATGAGCCCGGACCTCCACAGGAAGGTGTCCGTGCAGTACTGCGACCTGCTGCACAGGAAGTCCCTGAAGAGCAAGAAGATGAAGGACATCGGGGAAGCGTACGGCGTGGTGACCCCGTGCGCGCGGAGACCCAGCGTGCACAGCGACCTCATGTACATTAAGGAGAAGGCCATAGGAGCGGGGCAGGGCAAAGACAAGGAGAGGTGTGTGATCAGCTAAAGGCACACCAAGGCTGCAAGAGGGAGAGAAAATGTTCGCTCCGAGGAGGCACCGTCCGTTTGAGAGGCGCTCAGCTCGGCCGGCTGCGCTCCAGTCACCGCGGGACGTTTGGAGGCGCCCCGGGACTGCCGCGCGCCGTTACCATGGACACGTGATGCGTTTGAAGAAGCTTGTTCTGTCAGTCAGAGTCACGTGGCTTCTGTGAGACTCGCTCGCATCTGTTGTGTTCTGCCTTTTTTTCTGTACAAGACACTCATGGCTCAGGAGATGCAGTGTTAGCTGAAAAAAACAACAACAACATTGTTTAAATCTGATTGTAGTTTTGTAAACACTTGAATGTTCTGTTGCAATCTCATTTTTGTGAATGTTTTTTATTGCCTGGCAATTGTTTTTGCAATGAACWCAGAAAAAAGTTAGAAAAAGTCTAATAAAACAAACTGAAAAGTATTCTGCTCCCTCTGTTTCTTTCTCATAATGTTACAAAATGCAACAACAACCTCCAGATACATTTTTCATTTACACAAATACAAAGCCTATTAGAATTTTCTTTTATGCTGATTTAACCTAATATTTACTTTATTTGCACTCCATGTGCTACCAGCAGCTTCTGCCTGATTTGAGCATCAAACATGTTTGCAGAGCATAATCCAAACCAGTTTTTATGTGAAAAATGAAACCCTTTCTAAGTTTTTCCTTCATTTCTGCCTGTGCAGAAATGCTGGTCAACCAACAAATAAACTGACAAACAGTCTTTATCTGAACAGTTTCAGCTCAGCAGGAGACTTTATTAGTTTCATTCATCAACAGGAACTAAAACAAACAAGCYTGGGAACAAAAGATGCAAAGAGGAGAAAAACAGTTGAAATCATTGAATATCAATTGGTGGCCCTCAGGCCAAATTCAGCCCACTTGGGGTCCGACTCTGGTCCTCAAGGTGGAGGTGGAGTGGTAGCATCCACCTATTTGTGGCTTTCTGAATAACAACGTGAAAAGAAAAAAAAACAGTTTTTATGATTGTTTATGCACTAAATCAGGGCTATTCAACTAAACTGCTCCGGGGGCCACAGTTACTGCAAGCCAACAGCGCAGGGGCCGAACATCCAGCAATCCAAGTTATTACGCAAAAACACCAAGTGTTACTAAGGTCTGTTACCTTTGAAATAGTTTATTTTGATGCATTTAACCATAAATACAACATACAGAACCCTATGTAATAAAAGTAGATAATAAAACAATATCAAAAACAAAAATAACACATTATGCCTCTTATTTACCACAAAAAAGATTGACATCTCTGACTTGACAATTTTTTAATCCAGTTTTATTTTCACTTTCATAGTTTTAAATTCAACTGCCTTTACTTGCTTCAAGCCAAGATTCAGACATTTCTGTAGAGACCAAACAGGTCTATGTTGAACTAAAAGAACTTATAGTAATTAAAGTAGAAAACCGGTTGTTTGGCCTTAAGAGATGAAAGAACCAATTGGCGGGCCGAACTTTGGTCAGTCATGGACCGGATGTGGCCCGCGGACTAAACCCAAACTAAACCCAGTGGGATGCAGCCTCACAGTTTCTGCAAAACACAAAACCCATTCACTTACAGACAAAGCTGCTTTGAAAACATTAACTTTTCAAACAACTGCATCCATGAACCAAGTGATCTAACACATTCAGGTGTGCAAACARAGGTGTGCTTAATTGGAAGCACACAAATCAGCTATGAAGTGTATAATAGGATATAATTCCTRCTGCAATAGACAGCAGTGTATAACTGAAAAAAGTGTTTCATATTGCAACGTTTTGCAGTAAATAACTCAGTGTGATCTGCAAAATGTATGAAGTGTTTAAAAAAAACGAGTTCCTTTMTCCAAAACTGTGCCTAATCAAGCACAAAAAAATTGTAAAGTAGCCCTACTAAAATACAGTCGTATTTAAATAATTTTGGATTAATTTATTAAGGTTTATTAGTCCCGCACACCACAATTTTTATATAAACAATCAGATGCAGAACTGTTTATTTTAAGGCTTTTCATGTTCCAGAGGTTATTCTTAATAGCAATAAAGTGAAGATAAAAACTTATTTTTGTGTTTTATTGCTTGCTTGTGATGCTTGAGTTTGTGCACTATGATGTTAAKCACAAACTTCTTGTCAACATCTTTTTATTCATGTGTTTTAAATGTTCTCATTAACATTTATCATTTGTTTAATTTTAACACATTGTTAAATGTTCTACCCTGTAAAATATTTCTGCACAGTTACTCAAACCTAAGCAATATTTTATTTAAATAAAAAGGAATTATCTGTTTAAACAGCTTATTTATAGATAATTTGTCACTTTGCCATGGTCTGATACAAACTATCCACCTTAGTGGAAAAAAAGACTTCAATTAAGATGTTCAGGAACCACAACGGTGCAAACCTAGAAAAGAAGCTCCAAAAGTAAAAGCTTCAAGCTTGATAAATACAGTAAGTCAAATGTCTTCTGGAGAAACGTTTCATGGCTAAATGATGTTTGAAGGAGTAAAGTTAACTAGAAACACTGTACCAACTGTGTATAATGATGTGGTACTGGTGTGTTGCAAAAGGAGGATTGAATAACAAAAGAAGAGGACTATCTCTCAAATCAGCAGCTCAAATGATAAAATTTGGACACTGCAGGGTGTTCCACAGTGGTGACCATTGCCCCCTGTGTCGGATCCTAGGATCACTTCACCTTCCCTGATTAATATTTGTTGACTTTGCTTAAAAGCCAGGTCCTTGCTATAAAACCAGCCAACTAAAATGAACTCTACCAATTCTGCCAATAAGAGTAGTCAAATATCAGCCAGAATTAAGTCAGAAACTTGTTGAAATATACAAAAAGTTCAGTTGATGTGCGCCTTGTTAAAGGATATATAACCACGTATTAGTTGGAGAAGAGGTRTGACCGTGTAATTATAATTTTTGACTCTGTGCTGATTGGAGAAAATCCCCAACAAACTGCACAACCAGCTCCTGCTTTTAAAAAAAATATTACTGTAAAGTTGGGTGGTTTAATCAGTCCACTTGGAAAAAGACAAGTTCAAATGAATCCTTAAAAGCCCCAAATTGTGACATTCCTGCTCACAATGAGTGGATTTAAATTCAGCTTGTTCTTTTCCTTTTGCATAACCCTTGAAGCAAAAATTCGTAAAGCAACATAAACCGTAGTGATGTGGTTTGCTTTTATTGTGGTTTTCATTCTGGCTCATTTAAACTTGCTTCAGCAGCTCTCTGAGAGGTAACACTGCGTCCAGTTCTGCCCGAGCGACGCTGCAGCTCCTCGCTATCAGCAGTGATCCTGTATAATGTATCCTGTGAAAGCCACAGAGAGAATATCCTGCATTGGTTTCAATGTGTTGTGTGTGTGTGTGTGTGTGTGTGTGTGTGTGTGTGTGTGTGTGTGTGTGTGTGTGTGTGTGTGTGTGT